GTCCCTATCTTTGAGGGCTAAAGAAAATGGTAAAATGGCCTTATAGAACATTTTTCTCCCCAAGTCAGTGGATTTGACCGAAGCGCTTTAAACTGTATTCAGTCATTCACACACTGAATGGTGGACACACTGAACACAAGACAGGCTGCTGTATACAGGCACCAGGTCCTCTGACCCCCATCGGTAGACAATGTAGGTGATGCATCCTGCCCAAAGCTGTAGCTGGGGGTAGAACTGGCAACTCTTCAGTTGCAGGGCAAACTCCTGTATCCGGCACAACTCTCACCCACTGCTGCCATTGTAAATGGCTCTGGGAACTAAGATGACTGTAGAAGTTGATTTTGTGTATGGCTGTGTGATGTGTAATATGCCATGGACTCTGGGAGACTTTGGGAGAAGAAAAACAGTTCTTAAACATGAAAGGTTCTCCCCCTTAATTTGCGAATGAATCCTTTTAATGCCAAATCCAAAGGGTGCATGCGTGTACAGGTAAACTAAACCCGGGTTTTTTCAAACATGGGGCCTCTGTCCCCCTGCTGCTGCGTGTCTGGTAACACCATCATGCTGGGTTAGTGATGATGATGTCACCAGTGCGACAGAAATCAGGAAAGTAAACAATGGAGTCTTTACTTTCAATGCTCAATGTTTATCAAATGTGAACAGAGTTGTATCGGCTTGTTATGTCAGAAACGATTGCCGATGTGTGTTGATGTTTGTACGTTGTGTTCAATGGTGTCACGTTATTTCACAGGTCAGAGTTTTCTGCTCTGGTGTTCCCACAGTAGGCAGATGAGAGCAGAGGCGTGTTTAACACGGGTCGCTTGCCGAGTCATTTGACCCTGAAAGATGCGCATCAGTGAGCTTTTCCAACTGCCACTAAAAGCAGATTCTTCCCGGGTTTAAACAGGTTTTTCGGCCAGTGTGAAAGGGGTAATAGTCTCCGTTTTTCTTACCAATGCAATGGTACAGTAATGGTGTGTTGACACTGAATGGGATTTCAGCTAATCTGTTGCCACATCTGTGCCGTCCCTTGCTTGACATACTGAAGGAGTTTCTTTCTGCTGCTTGCCAGTTTCAAATCAACATTTTGGATCAGGATTTTACAGAACAGTTTGTGGTGCTTTATTCATTATTGAAGTGCAAACAAAAGTACCAGTATCTAAGTCCCTGGGTTCGCTAGATTCTCCAGAGACAGATCCAGTTTAGGGACTACCACCACCTAATACTACCTAATACAAGACATGGGTCTGGATGAGGGTGGCTTTCAGCAGTACTTCAGTCTATGCAGAACCATGCCTTCCTGGCATGCCTTCCACAAAGATCATAAGATATAAACTGATTATATCTTATGCAATAAAGCAATAGAAAACCAACATCCCAAACAGCCAGGCCATGCACACTGCTGGTTCTGTGTAACTGAATATGAACTGAATATGATAGTGCGGAGTTCAGTCGGGTAGCTCTTATTTCAGAGCGAAAGCAAATAATGTACATTTTGATTACAGTGCATCTCTCCCTGAGAATATATGTAAAATGGGACACTGTCCAGACAGTTTTTTCTTTTGATGAGCAGGGAGAGGGACACACACAAAGACATGCAGAAAATGACCTTGAAAGCTTTACAACAGAAATCCCAACCTGAAGGACCTTCGAAGAAAAACTTACAACTTTACTAAATCAAATAATGGTAAAAAATATCAAAAGACTTGGCTAATTACCAATCATTACCAAGCATTCAAAACTAAACACCAGTTAGAAAACAGAGATTTAGAGCAGCAAAAACATATCAAAATCTGTCCGAAAAAAGATTAATACAACATGCTGTAGAGGTCACTGTATGCCAAAGAGCACACTGACTGGCATAAAGAGAAAGAAGGCATTTTACGAAAAGGCTTTTAATGTCATACACACATCTTGGGGCATAATGAAAACAAGGACAAATTGATTAAATAAAGCTGTAGCTCATGTCAAAGTTTGATATTTCAGATATGAATTAGCCTTTCTGGTTCAGTCTTGGAGCAAGATTGAACTTTTCTCTATCTGGTGAGACTTGAATGTTATTTAAAGTCACCTCTGGAGATATGACATGTGACATCTGCTGACATTTTGCAGTCTAATCACACCTCACCTGTGTGCCAGCCGAAATGCAAATTAAGGTCAGCCGAGTTTATCCTCTAAAGTGGCTGTAATGAGGCAGTGATTTTTGACTCTACACGTGTTTCTCCATCCAGCTGTAAATCAAAGATTTAGTCAGAATCATTGAAGTGTGAAACCGATGACATCGTCATCAAATACCCTCAACCAGAACCAAATTAAATGGTGGTTTTCTGCTGAGACTGTGTGATTATCTTGGGCAGTCTGATCCTACTGAGACAGTGCACTCAGTGATCCATCATCTGTTGTTTGGAGACTCCATCATTAGACTTCAAAAGCAAAGCTTTTAGGAGCAGAAAGGCAGTTTGTGATTTTGAAACTTTTAGGCTTCTCTGATCTGGACACTTTTGCGTTTGAATGATCCCTTCACTTACTCACCATGAACGTGCTAATGCCCCAAAGGTCCGCTCCATACAAGCTTGAACCAATAGGAGCACACACACATGCACTCACCCTGAACTGGAAGACAGACTGCTTTGACAGGAAATGTGATTCATCATGGCTGCCACTACTGTACTGTCAAGCTACATTAGAGAGCAGAGGAGATGACGCAACGCCACACATTATGTGACACACAGTGATGCGATGATGCTTGTTGCCTTGTCTCAATTAACATGACACCATAAACTAGTTGTTTTTATTCTAATCCTCCTCATCTAGCATCCTGAGTTATTTGTGTACGTTTATTTATAAAGACAGGTACCTTAACCAATACAGCTGGAAGGTATGCAATATAACATATGATCTATTAAATCCATAAATTATGAAATTATGATATTATTTTTCAGTATAACAAACATGGATTTGGATTTAACAAGCTGCTTTACTTTTCTACATTGCATCATATTTTGATAACTTTCCATTAGACAGGTAGTTATAATTTTATTTTTAGAAAAACTGGCCAACTACATTCCCCTTTGTATTTACAAAAGACCAATTCGGTACGAGAACTGTCTTAGAATAAAGATTCCAAAATATATATTCTGCTGACGCAGTCCAAGAGAAAAAAAAAAATGCTAAGAGATATTCAGGATAATTCATCTCACTTATATAGAAGTAATTCTCAACACATGTGACTTCATGGAGACAATACAATCATATCATCCTGTCAGATGGTCTAAGGAAAATCAGCTGATTGCATCCAGTTTTGGACTTTGCAAAGTACTGAATGCTCATCCTCCTGAGCAATGGAAAGATAAAAGCAATGATCTATAAATACTTTCAATGATGGAAAAAAGATGATAAATTAGTACCATAGAAACGATCACGCAGATGAGATCTGAGTTTATTTTCATCTAAAAAAGGATGAGCCAGAGCAAATACTGCTACTAACAGCAAAAGCTGAGCCCACAGCTATATCTAGAAAAGAAACAGGACTAAATACTAAAAAAAAACAGCCAAAATCTATCAACTATATATGAAAATATACAGTAGTGATCCAACTACCAACAAAAAAACAGCATCAACCTTTACCCTAAGCAGGTGAATGTCATAATATGGTCATATCCAGCTTTCAAGGGGAAGCCAAAAGGGCTAAATATGTGTCCTTTGATGATGTGTGTTAGCATTAATAGTTGATTCTTCAAATTGCTATGTACAGAGAGGCTATTAATAACACTTAGGGAACACACACAGGGTAGCTCTGTTGATCACATTATGTTAAAAGGAGTTGGGTATCACCTCCTGTAAAGCTGACATGAGCTGGTTAATTAATCAGCCATCTAATCAGACAGAAAGCCTGCTCAGCAGACATGTTTTTTTACATTTCCCTAATTTCTGACTAAAATGTTTTCTAAACAGGAGAGTTAGTGGTTCATGGTGTAATTGATGGGTTGCCAGTTGTAGCCCCACCCTGTGCTTAAGGAGAGCTACATTCCCACAGCAGCCTGAAGTGATCCAAATCTGCCCATATGCGACCTGTAGCTGATCTGTTCATGACAGTCTGAACAACACAGACCCGATTTTTTCCAATGCGCCCCCCAACAACGCCCCCCTCTCCCTACTCTCTTTATAAGGGTAAAAAGGTTTGGAAATTACATTTAGCATGTTATGACCTGCATGTATGGTCAGTAGCTAACTGCAGGCTAGCTAATCTGGCAGATAGTCTGACTAAATGACCCACTAATATCAGATTATTAGACTCCCAGTGTTTGTCTGCCGCTTTGGTGCATGAAAGAAACTACATTTCAATTCCTCTGCATGTACTGCACATTCAGCATATTTCCTTTTTCATTTTCTACTATCAGAAGGGAATTCAAAATGCACACATAATTATACAAACAACAAAACTGCCTAGTCAGTGCATCTCTAATAAACAGAGTATCATAAATTGACAATAAAAAATCTTGAAGCTGTAGAGCAGAAAGGCAGAGGGATTATTTGCTGGACATTTACCTATAACGTAGAAAGTGTGTTTTATATCATATTGGCTGCAGTTGGAATAATTGCTCCCTTTTAAAATACAACAAATAGATCATATTTGACATTTATTCATTGTTTTCACGTGTTTGTGTTAAAGTGAGAATCTCATAGCTGTCTTATAGTGTCTTAGTAATGTAAACGGATTTATTTAACCTCAGCCTTCCTGGGTTTGCAGCACGCTGCCTTAGATTCCTGCGGAACACATGCTGCCTCCAGTTCCAACCTGTCTAAGCTCATCTTCATCCCAGCACTACATCAGGTGCAAAGCCAATTTAAAATAAAACAACTGACCATTAAACACTAGAAGCTCCTTCTGCATGCTGCTGCCAGAAACCCTTCATTTTAACTAAGGTGTGAGCTTCTGCTCATCTATGAAGTATCAATAATTTTTCATCCAGCCGGAAGGTGCGCTCCTCTCTTCTTACCTTCCCCGCACAGCTTCATTTCCATTCCTTCCAAGGAGTTGGCTGAGTCGCCCTCCTCCAGAGAGAGCCTCCCAAACGGGCTGCCAGCCATGCCGAATAACACCTCGCTCACAGGGATCACACTCCCAGCAACACACCCGATACTCTATTGGAGGCAGCGTGTAAGATCTCCCCTTCCTCTGTGTGTCACTGATCCTCTCTGCCTTCAGAACACTTCCTCCCTATCTACATCCTTTGCTACCTGCTCTTGGCATGAATGTGTAAAAGCTGCGACTGGGCTGAGAGCCTCCTCTTCTGCATGAATGAAAAGGCACGGCAGAGGGGTGGATGCAAGAGTAAGAGAGGGGGGGATGATGGAGAAGGACACATGGTGCCTTCTAGAGGAAGAGGAGGGAAAGGAGGCAGCAGTGCTGTTTCCCAGCAGTAGTAGAAAAACTAACATCTGGATGTCAGGCAGCAAGGTGTCCCATTTCAACTGAAACATTCCCAAATTATCCATTCCATTGGGCCACCGGTGGGCCAGTAAATCTAACATAATTAGATGTTTAACTGTTCATAGTTTAAAGAACTAAAGGAACTCCTTTAAAGGTTTTTCTTTGTAAAATTAAAAAGCCTCTTTATCAGGCTGACAATTGAGAAATTAGGAACAATAAAGAAAATAAAAACACTCAAACAAATACTGACTGAGAGCCTATAGGGGGCGATAGCTTCACCACAAACCCACCGATTCAAAGGCTGTACAGTTGGATTGCTTCCAGATTATTACTTCATTAAAGCTGAAGGATAAGATATAAAGTCAGGCTAGGGCTGGGCGATATGACGATTCAAGACCGTGTTACGATCCACACCTCTGACGATCTGTCATTATTAAGAGACCGTTTTATCAGGATCCACAGAACTGCAGTGCTGCTGTATTTCTGCCACTGACCACATTTACATGCAACCAAAAAAAACCTTCACAGCTAGAATATAATCCGAAGGTTTGACATTTCGTCCAGTTAGTTTGAAAATCAGTTAAGGCAGCGACCAGTCCTTCTCCCGAAGCAGCAAACGTTAACAGATTCATTTACAAAACTTACTCCGTACGATAAAGGCAGTAAACAGTGGAACAGCGTGACAGAAGCGGTGACGTTTCACTTGGTGAAAGATTTATGTCCTCTACGAACTGTAGAAGGAGTGCGATTTAATAAAATGTTAAACGTTTTGGATCCACGCTACGAGTTGCCTAGCCGCACCTATTTTTCAAACACCGCTATTCCACATATGTATGCTGAATGCAGAGAGAACGTTTCACAAACTATTAAAAATGTGCAGTTCTGTGCAAGCGACAAGCGACTTCTGGTCCAGCCACACGTCAGAACCGTATTTGAGCTTAACCATACATTTCATCAGCAACTGGGAGCTATGTAATGCAACACTGCAGATAGCCTATTTTCCTGATCATATCATCATAGATTGCACAGATTACATCTTGACTTGCACTATATTTGCAGTTCCATAATAGTTTTTGTTTCTAAAGACTTTAGAAATTATACAAATCTATTGTTTAATGTATTTTTTATTTATTTTGACGGTAGTTACTTACTAGAAATTAAAAAAATAAGTTTGTTAGCACTGCTTTGATTCTCTAATTTTAATAAAATTGTTCATTTATTTAATTTTTCTCTTCTTTGCATGTTAATGAAGTTATGTTGGTCGTATCTAAAAAAAAATCGTGATAAAATCGAGATCACAATAATATTTTATTTTTGCCATATCGCCCAGCCCTAAGTCAGGCTTGACCTAGCCTGATCAGTGCATCCTGGCTTGATCAATATCAGTTTAGTTATAAAGCCCCAATTCACAGCACATGTGTCCTTTACAGCAGGGCTGCAACTAACGATTATTGCAAATTGATTAATAATCGTATAGCCAACGATTCTTTAAAGAAGACTTTTAATGAAATTTAACCAGGTGAAACCCAAACTTTTCCACTTGAGGAGTTGTGGATAGAGCATATTGACAGAATTTCTTTTATTTTTTTTTTATCTTAAATCCAAAATGTTTATATATTTTTTACAGTTTTGGTATAATCACTGCTTTAAGTGGGTCTCTCTGTCAGCTAAAGGGATATTTTAGAGTCTCTACACTCTAGTTAACAAGAAAGCGATTAATAAATTAGTTGATAATTATTTCAATAATCGATTAATCCGATTAATCCAATAAATTTTTTCAGCCCTACTTTACAGAGACACATTTCACAAATACCAAACCAGGTCCAATGGTGCGGCTATGTTAAGCTGTAAGTAATCAAGCTAAATGCAGGTCAGCATTTAGACCATGAGGTTGAAAACAAAATAAGCCAGACTTGGCCGCATAAGCCTGCTGGGTGCGAGGGATTGCAGAGGCATTGAGTCCTGGCAATCAGGTGGTGTTCCTTAGATAGAAATACTCAAAAGAATATGATTGTGTTACCTGTATAAATAAATTGACCATTTTGTAATTGCAGCTTTTCTCTGTGTGAGTCTCTCCAGGTGGAATTATTAGCTCGGCTGCTGCCATAGACACCTCTGATTATAGATGAGAGTGATGGGCCTGTAGTTCCGTATCTACTTCTGTTTCTATCTTGAACATTGCTAGAAT